CCCCAAAACCCCAAAACCCCAAAACCCCAAAACCCCAAAACCCCGTTTATCGGTGAACAGGTAGCTAGCCTCGAATCCAAAATATTAAATATGTCTGAAAGCAACACGATGTTAATACATCATGTCTTCTTGTAGGCTACATTAAATCGGCAGTGAAGTTTCCGATTTGCTGAAGAGCAGCATCCATTTCTTCCTCTGATTTTACCAGATTTGTGATTCTGAAGTGGTAGGTTCCTTCTTCTTGGCCGAATCCAGATCCAGGGACTATCATGATTCCTGTCTTCTCTAAGATATCTAGTCAATACCTATTTAGGTGAGGATAAAAGTCTTACTTAAGATCTGGAGCGACTCCTTCTTTATGGGCAGAATCACAATAAGATTGGGGCAAATCTATTTTAGGAAAAGCATACATAGCGCCTTCTACCTCGTTACAGGTGATCCCTTCAATGCCATTCAATTTTTCAGTCATAATGTTAGCTCTACGCTTCAATCCGTTGAAAATGGCTTGCTCTTGTTCTTGATAAGCATCAAAGACGCCTTCTGATACGGTATCTTGAGTGGGAGGGTTCACCTACATCTTAGAATTTAAATCTTACCATTAATCCAACTCCGATTTGCCCGATGATATTAGCTCAGGATGTTATAGCTTTGAATTTGTTGATTGTGGCATTAGCAAAGCTATCAATATTGTGAAGCTCCATAAACCCGCCTCTTAAGCCACATTCTCCATGGAGTCCCTTCGATAACGAATGGAAGGAGGCGAGTTCAACATGATCGTTATATGGACTTCCAAGTTCTGAAAGAGTTTTTCTGACTGAACAAAACTCCTTATCAACATAGATATTTCTCTGGTATACTTCATCTGCAAGTACCAAGATTTGTTTGTCGTGGGCGAACTGGATCACTTTGTTCAAGTCTTTTTGAGTGAGAACATGCCCTGTAGGGTTACCAGGGTTAATAACCACCAGTGCCCTTACATTGACTCCTCTATCAGTGGCTTCATTATAAGATCGTTCTAGTTCTTCATACGACATCCCCCATCCTTTATTTTCGTCGAGATAATAAGGGACTTGTGAACCATTATATTTAGTAGTTAGAGCAGAGTAAATAGGATACTGGGGAATGGGGATCATTATTCCATCACTCTTTTCTCTAATCAAGAGTCTCATCATGAGTGTGATACCTTCATTTGCTCCTTCAGTGAGAAAGATATTGTCTTCACCTACTTCTACGTCATCTCTTTTCTCAATAAAAGATTTAACTTCCTTGACAATTATGTCGATTCCTGGGCTATCTGAGTAAGCTCCAGCTGCACGGTTGTTGATGTTGCTCAGGTAGAAGTCAGCTCTGTCAACAGCGTCAGCTGAGTAAATCATCCGGTTTCTCTCAGGATCATCAGTCAAACATGATGCAAGTACTTCTCTGTTGAAAGTTATTGGCTTTTGGCCAAGATCTTGAGGATTTCCAACATTTAGGTGAGTAATCTTGTCAAATGGAAACTTGATTCCTTGTTCCATTTGCTTCTTCATTGTTGCTGCTTTATCAGCGATAGCTCCTCTCACAGCATATTCTGTGCGGATGAGAGGGCGAGCAATGGTTGATTCATTAAGAGTTGTACTGTAAGCTCTATACACAAAATAAGTTCACATTTAAACTCAACAAGTCTCAAAGAATGCCTATCCAGCCAACAAAGTTAGTGGGATAGGCAAGTACTAAGCAATGCATACCTTCAGAGCCTTTTGGAGAACATTTTTCCTATCATTTTAACTAATTTAATTAATTGACTGTTTACTGATTTTAACTTTTCGGGAATATAAGGGGTTTTGGGGTTTTGGGGTTTTGGGGTTTTGGGGTTTTGGGGTTTTGGGGTTTTGGGG